CTGGTCTCCTAGACCTTGATCCCACTAAACTTTCCAGCCTATCTTTTTCCTTATCCCACTGCTGGTGAAGACCAGGTGGTTCTTCCCTTCTGGAGCCTGATCCCACCAAAGCGGTGCTGGACCATCTAAACCCAACCTGTGCTGTCTGGTGCCAGCAGCATCACCACAAATGCTGGAAGATCCTGGTCCTTCTTCTCATGTCACTAAGGACCCTCCTTGTGTCTTTGCCACAAACACTCATCCAGCCCGCCGTGCCTGCCTGCACAGTGCCCAGAACTGCAATACTGCTTTGATTTTCCTGCTTAAATCAATAGCTCTAATCAGCCATGACTTTCTCCTTTCTGTGTTTCCCTCTCCAAACCTACAGCCACACTGCCTCCAGATCTGTGACTTGATAAATCTCCTGTTCTGGCTAAACAAAGCAATTAATAATCTTTTCCAACAGGATATGAGAGCACAACTGGTACATCTCCAGGCTTCTAGAATACACTCCTCAGCAAATTCCTTTAGTCCCTTGGAAGGAAGGGACAAAAAACTTGCCCTGCTGCTGTTGGGACCTCAGACCCCAAGGCCAGGCTCTGTTTCCTCTGCTGGAGGCATCCAGCCTCCCCAGGGAGGAGAGCTCCCTGCTCCTGCTCACTGCTCCCTGCGTGCTCCCAGCACCTTCACCCCAGGATGCTTCCAAGCCTTATCACACCCTGAGAGCCCACAGTCTCCTCCTGACCTTGTTGTCCCCTCTCCTACCCTCCTCCATTCCCTCCCTCTCCTTGCCCCAGTACAACACCCAATTTAAACCTCTCCTAAGGCTTTTAAATCTCTCTCTGGATCACCTCCGGCTGACATAAGTGAGAATAATTCTCTGTTGTCCTCCTGTTTCCTTTTCCATGCCAGGCAGTCTGCAGGCATGGAAAAAAAAGGCCTCCCTCTGCCTGCACTCTCAACACTTTCACACTGCTCCTCTGTGCTCTCCAGCTTCCAGCTGAAACCAGTCCAGCTCCTCTAAATCAAAAGATATTTATAAAGCTCTCCTCCTTGTCATCTTCCTGGGGATCCCAAAATCAATTAAAATAGTTCAAAACCACCAATGAGACAGTAAAGGCGAAGAAGCCAAAATATCTGAGGCTCTGTAAACAGAGAATTCCTGTGAAATAATCCTTCTCCAGTGGTTGTCTGGGAGCAGAAAATGGACAGAGAATCATAGCCTCATTAAGGCTGGAAAAGACCTCCAAGATCATCAAGCCCAAGATGAGCTTAAACCACATGGTTGGGGCTCTGGACTGGGGGACACTGATGGGGTCCCTGGCCATGTGTGGGTATCAAAAAGACCAACCTTTTAAACCTGTTTCAATCCTTTAGGCTGTGAGTTTCCCGGTGTCCCCAGTGCCACCAGGTGCTGGCATCCACCTGAAGGTTGGGCTCATGCTGCACTTGCAGAGCAGCACAGCTGCACGTCCCCAAAGCCCCGTGCCAGTCAGCACAGCCCTGGCAGCTCTGGTGAGCGTCCAGGCAGGGGGATGTCCTGCTCATCAGAGAAATCATGGAAAGTTTTGGGTGGGAAGGGAGCTTGAAGCCCATCCTGTTCCACCCTGCCATGGGCAGGGACACCTTCCTCTGTTCCAGGCTGCTCCAAGCCCCATCCAGCCTGGCCTTGGACACTTCCAGGGATGGAGCAGCCACAGGTTCTCTGGACAACCTGTGCCAGGAACTCAGCACCCTCACAGCAAAGAATTTCTCCCCAATATCCCATCTAAATATCTCATCATCACCCCCATCTCCAGCAGTGCTGTGGGGTTACCGGGATGCTCCAGGTCTCTGGCTGAGGTCAGAGCTCAGCAGCCCCAAAACCTCCCAGCCCCGGAACCTGAAGGAGTTTTGCGTTCTGCTTTGTCTCCTCTGTGGGGACGAGGGTGGGAGCAGTGGGCAGAGGGCTCGGCAGCCCTGCACCCAAACCAGAAGCAGTGGCTGGGCTGGTTCCAGCTGGGAGGCACAGCTGGGGCCGGGCCAGGCGGAGCCCGGCGGTATCAGCGCGGACCGAGCCCGCTGTGTGTCACTGCCTCAGCCCTCACAGACCCGGTGTGACCGGCGGTGACTCGCAGCTCCACGCGGAACTGTCACAGCCGGGCTCCACAGGGAACGGCGAGCAGCTGGAACCGCGCCTGTCCGAGCCCACGGCCACATCCACAGGGAATTGCTTCCTGAAGTGCAGCTGCGCCGTTCCTGCACCCCCAGCCGTGTCCCCAGGACTCCAACCCCATCCCATGGAATCCCACAAACTGCCCCTCTCCACCAGGACTTCACCCTCCCCGATGCCCATCCCTGGCACCACTGTGTTCCCACACCTCCAAAGGTGGCTCCAGTTCTGGAAAACACCCTGGGAGGGATGGGGTCTGCTGCAGGGGGTGGTGGTCCCTGTCACAGGGATCATGGGGGGGAAAGATGGTTTACATGGAAAAATAATTTGTTATTTCGGCCCCAGCCCTGCAAAAGACACCCTGGATATGATCCCATCACATGGGTTTTGGGGATTAAATATGAGCTTTGTGATTAACTCTTCCAAGTCTTAATTGTGTCCTTCCAAGCCTGCTAAATGTAGGGAATTTTGTTGTGTTGGAAATACTGTCCCCATCGGAACCTGTCATTGTCTGTGTGAGGATGTTGTGTCTGACGGCTCTGGGGAGGGTGATGCCTGCAGCTTCCCATAAAATTTGGGGCTGGATGAGGCTTTTTTATAATCCATCATTCATAGCACCAGTGGCTTCTTGTACAAATAAGAGCTACAAACCCTTTCAAAGCCAGATGTTGACCACACTCCAAAACTCCCCAAACCTGGAAATTCCACTGTGATGCTTTGATGACCATTCACTCCAAAACTCCCCAAATCTGGAAATTCCACTGGGATCCTTTGACATCCTACACAGTTTTGGGGGCTGAAGGGACTGACACTGCACACAGGCTAATCCTTTCTGACCCTGAAGCAGTTCTTTTGTTAATGTGTAGGTTTTTAATGCAGCTGTCACAGGACAGGAAGAGTGGATAGGTCAGGAAAGGGTGGGGGATCTTGTTGCCTGTCAATTTATACATTTTTTCTTAAAGGCATGAATATTTCTCTGAGGGATGTGCGTCCTGACTGCCCACCATCCCAGATGGAGCACATCATCCCTCTGATGCCAACGAGCTCGTTTGGGTAGGGCTCAAACTGTTCCTTCACGCGCTTGCACGGTGCCACTGCCAGACTGCTGACTTTCTAAACCAGAAACAATTCTGAACTAGAAGTTTTGAAATAAAAACTTGAAAAAGCAGTTTTAAAGCTTTTCTTCAGGCAATGGTTTTCCTGCCACTAGCAAAGTGACACTCCTGAGTCATCTGCCCCTAAAAGGTCCCATGCAAGTGCCCTGGGGCATGTGGGGTGCTGAGCACCCAGCCTGACTCTGGGGCACCCACAGCCCGCACCCTGCGGCTGCCTCTGGGGTGTACAGATGGACTAGCACTTATTTGTTGGGGCTTTTGTTCTTTAATCCGAAAGTTTGACATCCTGCAAGAGGGTTTGGCAATGTTTTTTTTCACTCCAGGCTGTTTTTGCTTGCTGCCAGTTGCCAGAATAGAGCACGAACTGCAGGAAGGGCTTGGTTTTTGGGTGACTTTACTCACCCCAACTCAGTGTTAGTACTGCAGCAGTCTGGAGGGGGCTGGGGGCAAGTTTTGCACCTCCAGCAGAGCAGAGGACAGGTCAGCAGTCCCCTGCAGAGGAACACCAGTGTAGCCCAGAAATCACCCAGGGTAATCTCAAGCTCTTTCTCCTGAAGCCCGCAGCCAAAAAGTATCATCAAGTCACCTGCTGGAATAGCCCAGCCTAGGCAGTGGGGACCTTCAGGGGTATATGGGACTGGGAGGCATCATTTGGGATCATGCCTCCAGCCCTGGGAGCTGTGAGGAGGAGCAGCCCCGTGGTACCCTACAGCATTCCCACAGCGCTCCAGCGCAGCCCAGGGGGCAGCGGGCAGCACCGTCCTCCAGGCGGGCGAGGGAAGCGTGATGGCAAACAAGCCCCAAACAAACGAAAAACAAACCCCAAACCCATCCCGACCGCGACACCTTCCCCACGGCCGCGCATCCTGAGAACCCCGGGCTGGGAGGCGCGGACGCAGCAGAGCAGGAGCAGCGGTGGGAAAGCACGGCCCGGCCCGGGGAGCCCCGGCAGCGCCGGCACGGAGGGTCCTGCCCCGCGCATCCCCGGAGCCGCTCCCAAACACCGCGCCCGGCTGCTCCAGTGCCCGTGCGAGGAGGCGCTGCCAAGGGAGGCACGGAAATCCCCCTTCCAGGGACATCCCGGCGGATCTCCCGGGGACAGGGACCAGCACGTGCAGCAGCCTCGGTGCGCATCCAAAAACCAAAGAGCGGGGCGGGGGGAAAGCCAGGTGAGGGCGGGTGTGAAGGCAGGATGGGAAAGGTGACACACGGCCGGGGGGAGCGGTGTGCCCTCCCCCGGCAGCGAGCTCGGGAGCCTGGAGCTCGGGCAGGGGGCGGCTCTCGGGGCAGCAGGTGAGGAACTGGGCAGGCAGCGCCGGGAATCCACCTCAGCCCACCGAGCTTTTGTTTCTGCCACTCAAAACCTCTGCTCACACGAGTTTTTTTAAAGCAAGCCAGTGCTATTCTAAGGCAGGGCTTTCTTTTCACACCAGGATGTGGTTAATCATTCCCCAGGCAGCAGCACACCGTGTACGAGACGCCGTGGGGAAGCTCACGGAGAGCTGCTCCATGGGGTGAAACACCCCCGTGCCGTGCAGGGCATCACTGCGAACCCGCAGAGCCCCCCCGGCCCTGCCCAGGCAGGATTCCCCAGGACTGCCCCAGGAGCTGATGTTCAAATTCTGCATCATCAAACACCCCTCGTTTCACCCGCGGTGCGTACGAGGAACACGGGGATGCCTGGGGTGGGCTGGGCTCCCTCTCCGGACAAGAACCCCCCTCCCTCCCCGCCAGCATCTCTGCCCCATCCTTACTTTGATGTTGCAGAAAAAACTCCTGGAGCAGGTGCTGGAGCTCTTGGGGATGTCAACCGGGGATTTGCCAACTTCGGGGCGGACTCCCATGGCGAGGGCTTGCCGGGGAGCCCGGGATTTTTGGGCTGCTGGTGGGCTCCGCCGCTGTCCGGCCCGGCCCGTCCCGCCGGCCGCACGGACTGTGCCGGAATCCCTGCGAGGCTGCGAGTGAGCCCGGCAGCGGCAGCGCCAAGTTCTTATAAGTCGGCTCCCGGGAGCGATGATGAAACGCTTTCTCCTCCCTCTTTCGCTCTGAGCGCCGAGGGAACTTTAAAGTCGCAGGAAACAAAGGCAGCGAGCATGGAGCAGCGAGGGGCGAGGACGCCTGGGGAGTGCGGGCTGTGCCGGGTGACAGTGACACCCACCCGCGGGGACACCCAGCGCCCCGAGCCGCCTCTGGGCTCCTGTGCCCGGCTGCAGGACGTGGCTGGACAAGGAAACCGCGCCGGCACTGGAGCCTTGCCGCAAGGAAAACGACTGGGATTTTAATCCAAAGGTCCCCTGAAGGGGCGAGGAGAAAGGGAGGCACCTTTCAGCAGCTGAGCTTTGGCTCCTAGATGGTGGGAGGGGGAAACCGAGAGGACAGATGGAGAAATCCTTCCCCGGGCAGTGGGGTTTTGGAGGGAAAAAAGAAACTTCGGTGTTTGTTTTTACAGGAAAAGCTGCATTCGTGAAGCTCATGAGCGCTGTTTTTTTTCACCAACACCTCTCGGGGCTTTGTTTATGCAAAGCACTGATTTATTTTGCAAGCTCCTGACAGGGGGAAACGCGTCAGAAGGAGAAGGGCAGGTTGATCCAGCCGGAGGAGAAACCAGCTTCAGGTGCTCTGTCCTCGTTACCGCTTCCCTGTGTAAAACAGGGGGACCCCACGCCAAAGAGTGGGGACCACCCTGCGCTGTCCTGAGGCTGGAGAAATAAATCCCAGCTCCCGGGAGGGTTTCCCGGGAGGGCTGGCGGGTGGCACCCGGCCGTGGGTGCTCACCACGAGAGGGTGCCTGGAGCCCATGGGAAGCGGCTTCCCGGGCACTGCCTCCCTCCCTCCCTCCCTCCCTGCCTCCGCCGCCCGACCCCCGGTGAGGAGCCTCGGGATGTGACCTGCCTGGGGCACTGTGACAGTCAGCGCTGCTAAGATGAAAAGGGCTCATTTGGGCTGCCAGCTTCCCAGTTTCTGAAGCCTGTCCCAGGACGGGTGGGTATCGCTGGCTTTGGGGTGGCAAAAGAAGCATCCTTGTTTTCCAGCTTTCTTTTTTCGGCTTCCATCTCTGAATTTGCCAGATCTGGGGCCAGGACATGGCATGAAGAGACCCTTTATTCCCTGTCAGAGTTAGCCAAGCCCTTTTAGCCAACATTCTATGGCAAGACATGGAAGTTTCAGCCTCACCAAGAGAAAAGCTCCAGCAAACCAACACCTCTGCTCCTCTCCCATCCTCCCCGGGAGCCCAGCGTGCCACTGACCTAATTTTTCAGGCAGTGCCTGACCCGCTCCCCATTGGGTTTATTTTGCAGCAGCTGTGAGGCTCACTTTGTCATAACAACCCCCTCACACAGCAGCTGTTCTGGCCACTGACTCCAGCTTTTCCCTACAAATTTGTCTCCACAAAGCAAAACAGAGTGGGGAAGATGCCTTACAAGTCTGAGCCCGGCCTGGCAGCAGGGAAACATCCCTGCCCTGATGGCCCATGACATGGAAAGGGTTGGACACCCTGTGGAGGGGGCATGGTGACCCCCACAAGGGGAGGCAAAAGGCTCTGGTGGGTCAAAAAGGCATGGGACCCTCTGGATCTGCCTCTAGTGAACCCCTCTGGGGGCTGGATGTTGCTGCCCCACTGGAATTGTTTAGATTGGAAAAGCCCTCTAAGACCATGGAGTCCAGCTGTTCCCCCAGCACTGCCAAGTCCAGCACTAACCCAAGTCTTCAAGTGCCACATCCACACCTCTGTAAATCCCTTCAGGAATGGGGACTCCACCACTGCCCTGAGCAGTGCCTTCCAATGCCTGACCACCCCTTCTGGGAAGGAATGTTCCCAATATCTAATCTAAATCTCTCCTGGCACAGCTTGAGACCATTCCCTCTCCTTCTGTCCCTGTTCCCTGGGAGCAGAGCCTGACCACCCCCAGCTGCCCCCTCCTGTCAGGAGTTGTGCAGAGCCAGAAGGTCCCCCCTGAGCCTCCTTTTATCCAGGCTGAGCCCCTTTCCCAGCTCCCTCAGCCTCTCCTGGTGCTCCAGACTCTTCATGGATGCAGGTCCTTGGTGGGAACTGACCACATGCCCTCTCAGTGGCTGGAGCAGCCTCAGCTGTGCTGGCCAGCACAGGATCTGTCCCCCCAGGCACCACTGTCCTGCCCGGGTTGGGCATCCCCAGCAAGCCCCTGCTGGGTCTCAGGCATGGGGAGTGCCCCAGCAGGGCCAGTTTGCTGGAGGGCAGGGAGAAATGATGCTGGCAAAGCATGCTGCCGTTGTATTTCTCAATGTGCAGCTCTTGCAATAGGTAAGGCAAGAAAACAGCTGGTTCATGCCCAGCCATGAGCACAGACTGCACTGGGACCCCCCAGGGCTGCACGCCCTGCTGACCCACCTGGTCTGTGCTCCAGGAAGGGCTCCCAGCCCATCCCAGCCTGTGCCGCACTGGCACCCCCCGGGGCTGCATGCCCTGCTGACCCACCTGGTCTGTGCTCCAGGAAGGGCTCCCAGCCCATCCCAGCCTGTGCTCCAGGAAGAGCTCCCAGGCCATCCCAGCCTGTGCTCCAGGAAGAGGTCCCAGTTTTTCCCAAGCAGGGAGCATTGCCCAAGCCATGGCAGCTTAAATAGCCATAGTGACACAATAAAAGCTGACGGTCTGAGTTTAAAGTCCAGTCATCTCTGACCATCAGAGAGCACTGCTGACATTTCCCAAACTTTTATCGTGCTGGAACAGAAACTCCAGCCCTTGGACACACGTTCATCTCCAGCTTTCCTACACCAACACTGCTTTTAAATCACAGGCTTGAGATTGTGCAACAGGAGTTAACAAAATGAGCTGCACGTGAGAAAATGGGGATCTCTTGCCTCTTTTTGAGGCTTCTCTACTGAATTTCACTTTCTTGGCAAGCAGTGGCTCATCCTGAAGATGAGTGCACAGGAGGGAAGGGATTTATGGTGGAGAGCTGGGTTTCACATTCTTCTCATGGTGCTTGGTCAGGGCGATAGGGTTGATGTTAAAGTGCCTGGCAGGAGAGATCCCCCATGGCAGGGTTTGCTTTGTTTTACAGGGTTTGCTTTGTTTTACAGGGTTCCTGGGCTGTGCTTCATGCTCCTCCTCCAGTGGTCACGCTCCCCTGGCAAGGAATCAGGGGAAGGAGAACCCCTCATGCTGCTGACAGGGAATCAGCTAACTCAGACCACAGCTCTCCACGTACCCAGTAGCTCACCCTCCAACCTAGCCCCTTCCCTCATCCAGAACAAGTGGAATGGTTTGTCTCCATGTGAAACATGCCCACCTTGCATGTTTCCAATGGCCAGGATGAACTTTCACTGGTGCAGCAGTGCAGGAGCTAAGCCAAGTCCCTCTGTGGGGTGCTCACCTTGTTCACAGAACATCAGAACCCTCTGAAGCCACTTTCCTTCTGCTGGGGAGGTGGTTGGGTCAAACTGCTTCTACATGAGTGAAGACTCTTTGGCCACATCCCCCTCCTCAGTTTCCACCGAGTGGTGGCTGATCCTTGTTTGAGGACAAGGCTCACTCTGCTTCACCACCCACCTTCAGTCTGGCAGGGACTGAAGCACCTCACTTTTCCTCTGTGGTATCTCCAGCCTGTCCTGCTCAATTATTTGTTGCCAACTGGGCTTTAAAAACACAGAAATCATGGAAAGATTTGGGTTGGAAGGACCTTAAAACTCATCCTGTTCCATCCCCTGCCGTGGGCAGGAACACCTTCCACTGCACCAGGTTGCTCCAAGCTCCATCCAACCTGGACTTGGACACTTCCAGGGAAGGGGCAGCCACTGCTGCTCTGAACTTTAAACCTGGAAATTATTTTCTTTAGCTGTTCTGCTGCCTCTAGAAGACCTCAGAGTGCTCTGACAGCTGCCATTGAATGAAAATTAATTTGCTGGGGAAGCAAACACAGAGCCCCTGGGCTTCCAGGAGGTTTCACAATTGCAAGTACAAACACTGTGCTGGGAATGTGCATTTAGAACCCCCTCCATGTCACCAGAGCCAGCCCCTGGGAGAGCAGAGCAGCACACAACCCCCCCCTGGAGCTTCCATTTATTCTCCAGGGCTGGTGGTGTGGCACAGGGGGAACAAGGACCGGAGTGGCATCAGTGGTTCCTGCCAGTGCCCATGGTTGGGAATGACAGAGCTGGGTCTGGTCTGGCAGCACCGTGTGTTTGGAGCAGGAATACTCCTCAGGGGAAGTGCACAGTTGTACCTGAAGAACAGGCTTGGTTGGCTCACAGCCCGACTGTCCTGGGCACGGAGAGTGAGGGGCAGGTGATCCACCAGCTCCCCCGTGGATGTCCATCCCTGCGGAGGTGACACTGCTGTCCCCACGCTGGAGAGGCCATAGGGGATTTGCTTTTGGGACAAGCGACGGCTGAGCCCCAGAGCAGGAGGTGACACTGCCTGTCCTCCATCCGAGGCCACCACCAGCCCTGCAGGGCAGCCAGAGCTACGGCCGGGATTGGGAGTGAGGCCAGGTGGGATGGAGGCAGGGAGCTCCTCAGGAGCTGCATGTCAGGGTTGGACCTTCCCTCCCGTGGGGTGACTAAGGAATACGTCAAGCAGCTCCAGCCCGAATCCAAAGCCAGGCAGGCAAACCTCTTGCAGGGCAGCAGCAGAAGCAAGCTGCATTCTGGAGGAATAAATGGGAAGGCAGGTTTTGCCAGGCTGTGACTGCAGGATGGAAACTGGGACGCTGTGATTTTGGGAGGCTGAGATTTTAGGAAGAGCAGAGAGGACGGCAGAAGCTCCTCCACTTTTAAGAGCCAACAGGGCAATGGAGGAAATGCTTTTAAATGAGCCCTGGTTGTGCTTTGTGTCTCATAAAACAACCACTTTCTTTTCCTCTGCCTTTTCTGTTTCAAGCAACTCTTGTTTATTCTGAGGCCACTTGAGTTTCACCATCAGTAATGACAATGCCATGAAGCTCTTCAGTTAAATATTTATAATAGAAATATAAATA